AGATGTACGATGTTTGCCCGTCAGTGATGAAAAAGACGCTATTCAACCTCACGGTACATTCATTTCAATTAAGATTTTTTTCCTTGAATCCACCCTAGCTGTTCCCTACTGCATCAAATTAAATTAATTCGATTTAGTGCGTGCACTGGGTACTAGAAAACATAAGCCTGGGTGAAAGGCGCTCCGATCCCCAAAATTGAGGGACCACCCCACCCCCCATCCACACACACACACACACACACACACACACACACACACACACACACACACACACGCACTCGCACACACACACTCACACACCTCACCCATTCCACCCGCATGTGTTTGAATTGCAATCACAAAAACACTCTGACTCTAAGATGAAAAATATTGAGTGGGAACTTATAAAACAGACCTTCACTGATGTTCACACTTCCCGACCTACGCCTTAGCCAAGGACGTAAATAAGGGGGAAAGTTCCAAGGTTCTTTGGTCCTTACCAACGCCCATGGCGGTAACCAAGTGTGTTCACAAATTCTAATGACCACAGCCAGTCCAGATGATTGTTACGTCAGAGAGCTGGTCACTGATGCAACCCGCCGACGTTTTGGTTTTGATGGGTTTTTAAAAAGTATTTTAGGTGTTTATTGACAAGAAGACTCCAAAGGTTTTGCTTGGGAAAATAAATATGTGTTATTAACAAAGCGTGGAAACTAAGCGAAATGCCGCTCTTATTTACTTTAGTATTTGGAATTGACAAGAAAACTGCGGCGGTTTTTCTTATTAATGTCTTGAAATTTTACTGACGGTCCTGGACGCACGTGCTGTGATAGACGCTACCACAGGTCGACACCACGTCAGTATCAGAGCACATGTGTCTAGTTCCACCAGTTAAAGTTTATAACATAACCAACAAAAACAGTTGCAGTTTTTTGGTCAATTCCGAATATCAAAGTTTAAAAGCACCATTCCGCTAAGCTTCCACGTAAATTTCACATCCACTTCTGACCTCGTTGGATACTTCATTTTTAAAAAAAGAGATCATTGTTTAATTTTTTTTAATAGTACAAAATGCGGTGAAGTTAAAAAAAAAAGAAGACCATTAGATCAATAAGAATTAAAGAACAACTCTAGACGTGACTAAACCATAACTCCGTCATGCACATTACTGGCTGCAAAATTACAATTTTGTTCAAGTTAGAATTTTACTGCACATGCAACACAATATTAATTGTAAACAAAACTGGACCGATGACTGAGCCCTGGGGGACCCCATACATAAGAGCAAGATTATGATATGATGACTTAAGCCCTTTGATACCAACAGATTTGTGTCGATTTCACACGTAAGAACAAATCCAGCTGAAGGCAGACCCGGATGTTCCAAAAGACACTTCCAGTCGTTTCAATAAAATATGATGGTCAGTTGTATCTAAAGCTGCTGATAAATCTAAAAGGCTCAGTAAAACAATTTTTTCTTGAATCACAGTCAGAAAGCATGATGTCATTCATGACTTTAAGAAGTGCTGGTTTTTTTGTTTTTTTTTAAAATTTTGGTAAGTGTCTTAAGGCGCTCGTAACAGCATAAGGTCACATATGAGCGCTCAGGACACATTAAGAGAGATCAAATCCTTTAATTCATTCAAATTTCTCTTGAAGTCACTTCTGTTCTTAAATAGATAAGATTAATATTTCGAGAGATTTTCTTTTGATCAGAACACAACGTTTTATGTTACTGTTGTTTTGCAAAGTGCCCAGAGCTTGCGTATTTTAATCGGTGTTGAGAGTTATATTTAACGTCATTATTGTTATTATTATTATTATTATTATTATTATTATTATTATTATTATTATTATTTATTATTTATTATTATTATTTATTATTTATTATTATTATTATTATTATTATTATTATTATTATTATTATTATTATTATTATTATTATTATTATTATTATTATTATTATTTATTATTATTATTATTATTAATTATTATTATTATTATTATTATTATTATTATTATTATTATTATCATTGTTATTATTATTATTATTATCATTATTATTATTAATAATAATAATCTAACCGTCACACCTCCTTTCCACGCAAATCGTAAGAGCACGTAGCGGCAGATATGCACCTCTAAAAGCAAAGGAAGAAAGATATAAATTTTTTTCACGATCTAGCATAAGGTTATTGTTAGAATAAGCATCTACGTATTGCTCTTTCGACCATGTATCTATATAACTCTAACAGTGGTGTAATTAAATTTCTGCATGTGGTTGAATGATGCATCTGATGGGGATATGTACATTTTGTCATCTTTACTTCCCTTTTCATGTTGAATTTTAATTAGAGTAATTATTATTATATTATTATTAGGCCTATATAATTTAAATTTTGAAGTATAGTCCTACCTGCATGTGTTTGTACGGTCCTCTTGGATAATAAAGTATGGTCTTATTTAATCTTCTCTTCTCTTCTTATTATTTTTATAAAAATAAAGGCACGAGGAACGTAAAAACTCATACGTGCACACCATAGACTTGAATTGTAATGTTCTAGACCGGGTACTGTCAAGACTCCGCTGCTCTTTCCAAGCGAAACGTAGAGACGGACAGAGATAGAGAGGGGGGGGGGAGAGAGAGAGAGAGAGAGAGAGAGAGAGAGAGAGAGAGAGAGAGAGAGAGGGGGGGGAAAGAGAGAGAGAGGGAGAGAGAGAGAGAGAGAGAGAGAGAGAGAGGGAGAGAGAGAGAGAGAGAGAGAGAGAGAGACAGAGAGAGAGACAGAGAGATACAGAGACAGAGAGATACAGAGACAGAGAGAGATTCAGACAGAGAGAGACAGACATAGAGAGACAGATAGAGAGAGAGAGAGGAAGTTCTAAAAGAGCAAGACGAGAAACTTTCTTCTTCTCTAAAATATTTCCCTTTCGCACCATTTCGTGTTCTCTAATCATTTTATTTCGTCTGCTTTCCTCTCCACTTTCTGGACTCCTGACTCTTTCAGCAGCCTTTCTACTGCCACTCCTTGGCTTCTTCTTACTTTTGTCTTTCAAACACACCCCTGATCTTATGGAAGGTATGATGTATCTGGTCGTCTCGGATAAGGGCCAAAATTCTTGAAGGTCCAGGGTGCAAGTTGGCGCGCTAAAGATTCCTTGGTGGTTCAAAATCAATAAGAAGAGTAGGCTTCGGCCGCCACCCGTTCAAAATTCAATTTTTATTTTACTAAATGAAAATGTTTAATGTGTCCCGCGAGCTCATAATATGATATTATGCAGTTGCAAACGCCGTATAACGCCTCATTTTCAGTAGGTGGGAAATTTTGAATTTTGCCAAGGTGGCGGCCGAAGTCTACTCTTATCGTCTTATTATTTTTAGACCACCAATGGATTTTTAACGTCCGCAACTTGTACCCGGGACCTCCGAGATTTTTCGTCCTTGTCCGAGAAAGCTAGGCGAAGATCTTTCCTACCATAAGATTAGGGGTGATGGCTGAAAGACAACAGGAAGAAGGAGCCAAGGAGTACCGGCAGAAAGGCAGCAAAAAGAGTCCGAAGCCCAGAGATGGGGGCAAAGGAGAAGAAGGGGGGGGCAGAAAGTGGAGACGAAAGCAGGTGACAGAACATTGCAAGAGAGCAGGAAAGGAAGTGTAAGCAGACAATTTCAGAGAAGAAAAAGTTTTCATCGCTACCCGGATTCGAACCCGGGACCCTTGAATGAGAGGCAAACACCTTTACCTTTAAGCCACGAGAGCCCGTTGGGTTCCATCCAATATGCAGTAGAATTGTACATGGGCTGATTTATCAATGCCATGCTCATACTCATACTGTGCCAGAACAACATATGGGGAATTGCTTCTCTTTCTGTCCTCATCCATACTATCGTCATATTGCCACTACCTCGTCTTTTGTAGGTTTGTGACACTCTTGTGAACTGCTATTTCCGGGGTGCTTTGATAGTCGAAGCAGACTTTGTGCTGTTGAGGTTAGAGAGGTGAGCAGAGTAAGGGCTTCTCTGTTGACATCAACTCCTTATCGCTCATATGACCTTATGCAGTTGCGAGCGCCGTATAACCTTATAAAACGTAAAACAAACAGATCCGAGAATAGGCCTAGTAAAAAAATATAATGAAAAAATAATTGTTAAAAAAAATAAATAAATCTCTCTCTCTGTCTCTCTCT